CAGGGGGCAGACGCAAAGAAAAAGGATACTTATCCAAGAAAAATCAACGGAGCTTCAGACCATTGTCATCAACCTCAAAACAAGAGATGACAATTGGTCTTGTTTCCAGTTTACTCTCTGTGAATTCCAGGGATAAACAGTCTACTCTCCAAATTAAATTATATTCTCTCATTTTACAAAACAAGTTATTTATTTATTTATTTTTGATTTGTTTATTCAATTTGTACCCTGTCTTTCTCTTACCAAGAGACCCAAGGAGTCTTACAGAATTTGAAATAGAAGCCTAGCTGTTAGAAAAATTAAAAAACAATTAAACATTAGTCCTATTAAAAGCGCAGTTGAAAACATTTTAAAATACACTTTAAACATGAATACAAATAGACAAAATAAAAACAGAGCACACCACTTTGAGTACCATTCTGCCATACAATTAAAATCAGTAAAAAGACTGCCTAAATAAAAAGTTCTTAACCCACTGGCAGAAAGAGAGCAGGGAGCAGACTGACCAAACCTCCTAGGGGAGGGAATCCCACAGTCTGGGAGCAGCCACCAACTATGCCTATGAAAGTGGTGGGACCAAGAGAAAGCCCTCCCACAAAGATCTTAGAACTTTACAAAAGCCCTCCCACAAAGATCTTAGAGCTCAGTCTAGCTCATATGGGGAGACACAGAGCCAAAGCAGATGGGCAGGAAAAAGTAGATCGAAACCCCACTGTCTGCACAACCCATTCCCAAGGTGGGCTGAACACCCACAGGTAAGACTGTTGCCTCCCCACCATGCATGTGCACCATTGCATGCACACACCACCTACAATCTCTGATTACCTTCCACATCCTGCCCAGATGCCATTCCACTGGATGGCCACTCCTCTGACCAGCCACACAGTTGTATGTGCAATGCTCCACCAGTACAGAGCATTGGTGCCTCAGTGTGCAAGTGATATAGTGGCAAAGCGCAATCATGGAGCCCTCCCATACATGCTCCCTTCACCCCTTCACCCCATGGACTATCTGGTTTGTGTATGTAGTAATTACATCCATTGGAGTTATCATACTTTCCGATTCAGATAACTGAAAGCTACACTGGAAAACTTAAGTCTCAAAGAAGTTAATACAAACTTTCTTTCCTTGCAAATCGCTTGCTTTCCCTGCATCACTTTCGATATACACTAAGATGCAATGAAATTGCCTCCTATACCCCTCCCCTTGTCACTCCATCTCCCATGGATTTGAGACATCTGGCTTAAAATCAAAGCATAAGAAATTAATTTCTGTCTCGCTGGGTCTCATAAAACAAATAACAGAATTTCCGGCAATAAAAAGAGAAGGAGGATGGTGGGCTTCAATAAGTATCAATTCTGAGATGGAGAACGTGAAATAAAACAGAGCTTTTATTTCAACAATGAACACAACACTAACCGAAAACATTAGAGTCTGATTTTAAAATAGCTCGGACTAACAAAAGCACTTAGTACTTTTCTATACAATAATGTTCAGCAACATCAGATAAGAATGCAGCAGAAAAGAATGATGTTCTCTCCCATATTAGAGATGAGGATAATTTTAAAGTTAACTGACCCAATTTACACATCCTGGACTAAATGCAGATTGGAGCATCCTTCAAGAAAGGATACATCTCTAATTTTGCAATGCAGTTTTTAGCTAAAAATGATGTAAACAAATGTGTACATTAGGCAAAGTTTAGTACAAAAATGCATAAACATTAGGCAAAACTGTGTGCCACACTGTATACATTCAGGAAACCTGGAGAAAAATTATTTAATTACAAATTTACATGCTATTTAAAAGAAGGAAAACTGATGTAGAAACTATCCACTATAGTTTTTAATTATGCATTTTTACTAAGTGATCTATTATTCCTCCAATGGCATTGAGGGTTTTATTCACAGGTTATTTTGGCATTTTGACCAGAATACTTTTTGGCCAGAAAGGAAGAGAAAGAATTCTGAGCCTGGGAACAGAGCTCATTTCAGGCATCGACAACAAAATGCAAACCAGAAACCCTTCACTATCTACTGCAAATCAGCCAGAAATCTAACAGTAGATCATAATCTACTTCAGCCTTAGAGAATCAATTGTTTTACTCTTTTATGCTGTTCATTATTTTAAACCCAACTCTTTTCCCATATATATGGGTTTTAATAAATGATTCCCTATTGACTGCCTTTCATCATCATTTTTCTTTTTAAAAGTGTGTGTGTGTATGCATGCACACACAAGCACAAAGTCTCAAATCTGGTCTCTGATTGAGTTTCCAACCCTTTTTTCTCTCACAAAGCACACAACTTTTGCAGAGCAACTTTGGCTCAAATAAAGATGTGAGCCCCCCTCCCACACATACACACACACACAAACACACAAAGCCATGAAACTTCAAGAAAAGTAATGAGGATTCCCCCCCCCCCAAAAAAACCACATTTATTTCCAGGGGCAGAGGGTCCTGAAACAAATGCATTATGGGGGAAATTATTTAACAATGATGAATAAAAATGTTTAAGACAGGATGCTCACATATTTACTGCCCCTAAATAATATCTAAAAGAAGATGGATAGGTACATTATCAGATCATTATAATTCCTGATCTTGGTTTTCCTTTTTTAGATTTCTTATGGGAATGAGCTTGTTATGTCTGGCTGATGCTATGCAGAACTAGCAGAGACAAAATAATTTTCTCTGTTTTACTAATGTTGACAGTTCTCTTCTGCTCTTACTGGACTTGCTCCTCAAACTGGCAAAACTATAGAGGTTGTTTCAGTGTGGGACTTTGTAGCTCCATTCAATAAATAAAATGTAACAAAAACAAGTTCGATTTATCACTGTATTCTTAATAGAATGTATTTTTTAATATATCAAACATGTTGATTTTATTCCAAGCCAAGTTATATATTATGCACTTTATGTTCCTAAAGTAATAAAGTGACGTTCAACCTATAAAGCATGTCAATATTACATTTTTAAAATATGTTTATTAATATTTTTACAAAACATTTAGACAACAAACATAATATATAACAAATGTCCAAAATGAACTAACGATCATACAACATATCCCATTTGTTACTTCCTTTTCTACAACTCTTCGTTGTGTCAAAATTTTCACATTTTATGTTTCTTCTACATTTCCCCCCAAAGTTAACTCTTTCTGATTTCTTCTAAATTTGTTTTCCTCTCTTTTTTCCTACCACTTTATATTTTTGACAAGAGTTAATTTCTTTTCTTTTCTATAAATTTCTATTTTATTCTATATCTAATATTCAATAGATCATTCATCCATCATAGGTCTGTACTGAAAACTGCAAGAAACAAGGGTTTTCTATGTCCAATATTGCATTTTTCAATTCTCCTGAAAAACAGGATTTATGCCCATGGCTCCAAAATTTCTGGAAATTTTACTTCTTCAATTTCGACTAATGAGTCATCTATCAATTCTTCCCTAACCTCCACTTTGTCATATATATTAAAGTCAGACTTTAAAATTTTTCTCACTTCTTCTGGTTCTGTTCCAGCTCATTTCCAAGTTTGGCAGAAGGTTCTCTATGTGGTCCCATCTCTAAAATGCCCTCACTATAGAATTTTCACTTGTACCAACAGTGCTAGTGTTCCAATGCCATAAAAAAAAATTTATTTGCCCAAGAATGATAAAATGTGATGTTGGTTCAAGTTCAATCTACTCTGGGGGTTTTATTCTAATGTATTTTATTTTTACCACATTATGTCTGTGCCATATTTTGGTTCTTTTTTTCTCCTCCCTTTTAGTCTTGGTTGCTTAGAATGAAGGGCAGATAAAAATGCTTTTAATAAATAAATGTGTACAAATAATGCTCCCGTGGGAGATGTTTTCATCTGCACAACTTTTGTTTGGGGAGGGGTTGAGTTTCATTTGTAAAGTAGTGTTTTCTGTATAAGATGATAACATTAACTGTGGGTGACCCTGTTTCGCTGTTATAATGAGACCACCAAAGTGTCCAATATATTACAAAAAGCAATTAGAAGAGGAATGTTAGGACAGCATAGAACTTTTTTTTTTCTTTTGAAGGGTGGGCTGCAAATGCTTGACACTTATTCACCAAGATATGACCTTTTAGTCCCCCAGATTTTCTTGGTTTTTTTTTAAAATCTATACAGAACTAGACTTGAATGTATACACTCTGAGGCACTGTGCCAAGAACAGTCATGAAAATTTCCCCAAATCTCCATCACTTGCTGTCCACAGTTGTTCATTATCCCACCACCCACAAAAATCTAGGGCCTAACCTATCACTTCTATTACACTGAGGTACTTTTTTGCCCAACCACTGTAATGTACTGCATTTATTGCAATGAAGTGCAATAAAAGAAAAGAAAAGAAATAAAACAAAAAAATAAAATAAAATATCACAATTTCTTGTTCAATTCTAAAACAGAAGTGATGTGCTCTGAGTGTCAGGTTTGTTGCATCTGAGGAAAACTGGTTCCTACCACCATGGGTGGGAACAGGAATTGGCATTTGGGTGATGTAATACAGGCAATGTTCATTAAAACCTGACTTTGAATCTCAGCAATGTACATGTTTGGATCAGAAAATACCCTATAACTCACACAATATCAGGGCCTTTGCAGACTGCCAGAAATATGAGAACTGTAGTTTATTGTGGCACCAGAGCTCTCTGACAGAGAAAGCTCAATGTCTCAGAAAAAAATACAATTCCCATGATTCCCTAGCATTGAGCCAGGGCAGTTAAAGTCCTAGTGCACAAGAGTTATATATATATTTTTTTTTAAAAAATCACCATTGACATAGGTCTGAATGTACAACATTACACTCACTACTGAAATATTTATTACATATTCATTAAAATATGTATGTTGTTGTGTGCCTTCAAGTTATGGCACTTGTGGTGACTTATGGTCACTTATGGTGACCCTAAGGCTAACCTATCATGGGGTTTTCTGGGTCTGAATGTGTGTGAGTCCCCCAACATCACCCATTTGGTTTTCATGGCAGAGCAGGGACTCAAACCCCAATCTCCAGAGTCCTAGTCTTACACTCAAACCATTACACCATGCTGCATTTCGATATTTATGCTCCACCATATATAATGAAATCCCAGATTTATGTTAGAATTTAAAATAATAAAAATAATGTAAATGATCTAGAACATATTAAACATTTTAGCAAGTTAAAACAACTTGAAAGGTTAAAGCGATGTCAAACTATGTTCTTGTTTCCTTTATGCTCAGCATGTCAAAGTGCCCATTTTAGGTGAAATGAAAGAATAACCAAAACATCTTCAATTAAGGACAAAGAAACCTTAACAAAGGGGCAAGGAAGGGGCAGTCTACAAATTTAATATGTCTTCTGCCCTCCATCTTTGTAGTCCTTGAAGACCCTGGCCCTGTCAGTCCCCCAAAGCCCCACAGCTTCACCACCATTCCAAATTTATACATTTTGGTGCAATTCTGGCCCTAAAACCACACCAAACCACTCTCCTACTCCCCAAAGCTATCCCCAAAGAACCTCCTTATTCAGCCACATATCAGCTAAAATAATAATATGCAGATGTCACATTGCATAATGTCCAGTGACCATTTTGGCCACAACCTTCTATCCACAACTACAGCCAGACTTTTCCATTGCAAAAGCTGGGCCAGGGATTGTCCATTTAGTAGATGCAAAGTTCAGTTTTCAACCTCATCCCATTTTATCCTTTTCCCTAATGTCTGAGAAGAACCAAAGATTACAATTTGCAAGCAAAATGTCAAATAATGTCTGTCTCAGAACAGTTTGGTAGAACCGGCAGCTTCCAAAAAGGATTAGCCTCTGTCTATTTTGCCTGCAGTATGTTCCATCAGTGGTAGGAGCCGTAATCTCTTCATTATTTACTTTTAATAGCTTGAGACTTTTATACACTCCTAATCCTTCTGCCTGTCTCTCTCTCAGGCTAAGTTACTAGCACATGTGCAGAGGCAGCCCAGTCCTATGGAATTCTCTCACGCAAGTCTCCCAGAAGAGCACTATGCTTTAACAAGGGCTCTAGTACATATCCAAAATTAGATTTAACAGGCTAATCGAATTATTTTCAGGAGGCAGGATAGAATCAGGTGAAAGAGCTCTCTGCATCCAATCAATCTTAACGTGCAACTCAGCCTTCCCTGACCAGATGTTTTAGATAACAACTCCCATTATCCTCATCCAGCATAACAAAGTACAAAGATTTGATGAGTCTCTTTCACGACTCAGCATGGTACAACAGCCCCAAGCAAAGCTTTACACACTCCAGATGTGGGTGGAGAAATAGCATATCAGATCAAAATAAACAATACACTATTAGCAAGTCTCATCATATTAAGAGCCAGTGCAGTGTAGTGGTTTGAGTGTTTGACTTGGACTCTAGGCAACCAGAGTTCGAATCCCCACTGGGCCAGGGAAACCCAGTGGGTAAGCTTGGGTAAGTCACACTCTTGCAAACTTAGAGGTACACAATGGCAAACCCTCTCTGAATAAATCTTGCCTAGAAAATCCCATCATACCTTAGGGATGACATAAGTCAGAAACTACTTTAAGGCATGCAACAACAAATAATCAGACCAAACACATAAATAAGGAGAGATCCTGTGTTTATTACAATAGTTCTATCCCACCTTTCTGGCCAATATCCACAGGCAGAACTGGAAGACAGAAAAGACCTGAAAGAGGAAGAAAACACCCTCTACAACCCTATGTATTCCTAAAACCAGCTCTGGTGGCCTGAGAAATCCTCCAAAAGTGAGTTGTGGGCCACAGCAGAGGGCAAAAGAGGGGAACAGAGAGAAGGAAAGAAAAATCCAACTACAACTGTCCATGAAATGGATTTAGAATCTCTATGGGGGGGATGCAGACGGGCAGCCGTGGGCCGCCTTGGGAAGTGGAGGATTGGGGCCAAGGCTGCCCCACACTTCAGCCCCAATCCACCCTTTTCCCAGCCCTGAAAGGAGCGCCAAAACACCGGTCCTTTCAGAGCCGACAAAAAGGGCCCCCGAAGAGCCACCACACAGCTCTTCTGCGCCTCTTCCGGCGCAGCGCATTAAGATGCTGCGCCATGATTACGTATTCAGGGAGGGGCTGCGGCGGCCGGCATGTGGCTGCCCCTCCCCTTCCCTGCCTCCAAGATGGTGCAAAGGGCTGGTACTGGCGCTAAAGTAGTTCCTCAGCCGTCCCTCATTGGCACATGCTCACTGTTGTGAAAACCCCTATGACTGCATTGGAAAGAATGCTACCAAGAGGTTTAGGTAGCGAGCATTCATTGTTTTTTCTTGTAAACACTACGCAATTCAATCTACCAAAACAAAAAAATATTTTTAAATTGCCTGTGGCACCTTCCTTGCATCAACAGAGTTGAGGTGAGTTTGTGGACGTTCTAGGATGGGAGGGAAGAAGTTTGTCTTAGCCAATCAGAACATGAAGACAGATTGAGACCAGTAGGATTATCGCACACACATCATATTGAACGGTCTGAAAGTGTTCTTGCTGGCTGAGGATGCATTTTTACAGTTCTCCTCCTGGAACGGGCTAGGGACTGTCAGAGCACAGAATGGGAACTAGACGAGGATCATACTCATTACGTTTCAAGAACACAGTGTGACAGATAAATTTAAGTTGTCCGACACCAAATATTGTATTGGACAGCTAGATCTTTACAATACAGAGGCAAGCCTGCAGCAACAGAGGCAAAGATGCCACTTTGAAAGAGTGGCCATCATTAATTTTCAAAGGGCTGGTTATGATCAATAAAAAGCCATATATCACTTGGCTCCAGGTTATCTGAAAGATGGTATATTCTGATAAAAGCCAACCTAGGCTATGGACGTTTTCACACACGGGTCTCTAACAACTAGCATCATTCCGGAATGAACGAAAGCAGCATCATTCTGGTATGCTTCTGGCCACGCAAATGTAATTCCCAATGAAACCGGCATGCAAAAGAACAGGGATGATGCCGCAATGGGACGGGGATGGGAGGGGGTTCTCTGTGACGTCGTGTGAACACAGGGGCAAAGGATCCGCAATGGGACGGGGATGGGACGGGGATGGGCGGGGTTCTGTGCAACGTCATGTGAACACAGGGGCAAAGGAACCGCAATGGGACGGGGATGGGATGGGGTTCTGTCTGCTTTAGACCCCGTGTGATAACGTCCATTGAGACCTTCAGAGGTTTTGGTGAGGATGCAAGAGACAGCATTTTTCAGTGGCCATTCCCAAACTACACAACTCTGTTAGAAAGAAAGCAGAACTACCTCCCTCCCCATTGTTCTTCCAAGGCAAAAACAGACTTTTCTATTCAGATATGCCTCCAGTAATTAACTGCCTGATACAGACAAGGATGAGGTAGACTTTTCCATGTTTTATTCATTATTACTGAGGAATTTTAAACTGTTTTACTTAGGTTAAGACCCATTTAATTTGCATTTTAATATCTATAACTTATTGGCTAGAATCCTGTGGGTTAGTTCCAACAAGAGTAGATGTACTGCACTGCACTGTGTCAAAGGTTCAATTGTGAGTTAAAATATAGGTAAATCCAATTGACTCAACTGGTCTACTCTAAATGAAACTAACTGGGATTTGAAGCACTGGGTTTTTACCTCCCCCGTCCCACTGGTATTTTCTAATATATAATATATATATATGTTGGAAGCTGCCTTGAATCCAGGCCACGTGAGAAAGGAAGTATATGAATCTAATAAATAACTTTAGGATATCCTCATACTTTTTACTGATCTTCACAGCCTGGTATAACTAAAAAAAAAATTCTACAGCATAGTCCTTCTTTCTTTCAGTGTTTACATCCTTGTTTTTTATTCCTCACATTCCTACCATGCTGGAAGTTCCAGGATGGCTCTTCCCTTTAGTAAATCAGTATCTGTTCATTTATACAGAAGTAGTGGAAGTGGGAAGTGGGGATGTTCACAAACATGCAACAGTCCTATCACAAGACCCAGAAGTACAAGTCCCCAGAAGCAGAACTCTTGAGACATTCTTCTCCCCTAACAGAGCCAAATCCAAAATTAAACAGTGGCCTAAATCCAACCTAACATTGCTGTTGTTAACTGCTGTCAAGTTTCATTCCACTTATGGTGACCCTATCAATAAGACACTTTCAAGTCATCTTGTCATCAACAGCCCATCTGAAGTCTTGCATATTCAGGTTTGTGGCTTCCTTGACTGAGTTTATCTAACTGTAATGGGGCCTTCCTTTTTTCCTACTTTTTGCCAAGCATCACAGTCCTGTCTTCTCATAATATATCAAAGTACAACAGTCTCAGTTTATTCATCTTACGGCCATCCTGGAGGCAGGGATAGGGAGAGGCAGCTGCACGCCTGCTGCCTCAACCCCTCCCCAAAGACGTCCTGGCACCACACATTGTTACACATGGTGCACAGCGTCAGGACATCCTTCCAGCGCAGCCTTTTGATGCGCTGCGCCGGAAGGGGTGCTAAAGAGCCATGTGTAGCTCTTAGGGCACCCTTTTTGCCGTCTCTGAAAGGAGTGGCATTTTGCCATTCCTTTCTGAGGCAGCAAAAGGGAGGATCGGGGCCAAGGCATCCGGCAGCCTCAGCCTCGATCTTCGCTTCCCGGGGTGGCCCAGGGCCACCCGTCTGCATCCCCCCCTTAGCTTCTAAAGAGAGTTCATTTGCTCTAGGACCCATTTTATTTGTCTTTTTTACAGTCCACAGTATCTGTAAAACTCTCGTCCAGCAACCACATTTCAAAGGATTTCTCTTTCTTCAGCGTTTTTCATAGTCTAACTTTAGGATGATTATCCTGACTTTGGTATTCAATGACATACAGTCATCCCTCCTATTTCAAAGACTTCCTATTCACATCCCTCCTATTTTGTGGACAGGAAGCCAAGAGAAATAAAATGGTACACACACATATACGGGGCCGCACACAGGAACACACGACCATTAAAAACAATGAGGTTTAGATATTTGCCATATTTCCGATTTGCGGGGAGGGGGGGTCTGGAATGGATCCCCTGCAAATCAGAAGGGACGACTGTATATACTGTATATACTTCAGGATCTTG